TGGCCTGCAACTCAGGCATGTGTCCTGACAGGGAATCGAACTAGCAGCATTTTGGTTTCCAGTATGACACTCAACCCACTGAGCCACACGAGTCAGGGCTTACTAATAAAAAATTAAAATAAAAATTAATAAAATAGACAAAAATGCTAAATCAAAAACTAATAGAAATAGTTACTTCAAAGGAAGATAGAGAAAAGAGTGCTGAGGACAGCACTAGAAGCTGGATTTACCTTGTTTTACAGGTTGGAATTTGGAACACATGTAAATGCTCGATGTGGTTAGGAAAAGAAATGAACCAATATTAACCAAAATAAAAAGGGAATCCTTAAAAAGCAAGAGTAAAATGAAGACCACAAATCTAAGAGTACATCTGTCCTGATCAGACCACTTCAAGTGATTTTAAAACACAGCGATATGACTGTCCATTCTTACTAAGATACACACTAAGGATAGTATAAAATACAAAAGAAAATCTTCAACAGTTTTCAGTAATCATGTTATTGAAATTATTACTGTTACCCTGAAATTATACATGTAGCAAGTAAGTAATAACATTTATGTCATTAGGTACCAGCATAGAAGAAAAAAAGAATCTAACATAAAAAAATTGAAGAAAAACTCAGAATTCCTAAATTTGAACTGTAAGTATCAATATAAACTTACGATATATATTCTCTCAAGCAAACAACCCCCCCCCCATTTTTATAGTTATCTCAACTGAAAATGCCTAGAGGAAATGACACCATGGCAGCGATGAGCACTTCAAACACCACCTGTGATCTCTAACTACCATAACCAGAGCTCCTGAGAAATGGCTGATTCCAGGTCTGGGCAGGAAATAGGCCAGGTGAGCCAGGAGCATCTTGTGAGAGGAGAATGTAAAGAAGCTTCTAAAGACACTGAAGTCATGTCAATAAACTTGGGCACCCACTAGCTGAAGATGAGACATGTGAGCATTAAAAAAATTCCAACAGATATCAAAATCAAAATCTGTGCATTCATAACAGTATTAAAACAAACCTAGCTCTTTCTTCTGAAAACTGGCAAATAAAGAATTCAGCATTTGCTCTGGCAAGTGTGGTTCAGTTGGTTGGAGCATGATTCCATAACCAAAAGGTCAGGGCACACACCTAGGTTACAGGTTTGATCCCCAGCCTGGCCACAAATGGGAGGCAACCAGTCGATGCCTCTCTCTCGCATCGATGTTTGTTTTGTTTTTCTCTCTTACCCTTCCTCTCTATTTAAAAGTAATGAAAAATATCCTTGGATGAGAATTTTTTTAAAAAAAGGAATTATGTTTCCCCCACACAACTGGGTGGATAAGGGTAAGAAAAAAAGTTAAGTTTCACCTTATAGATGAATTTCAGCTAATAGACTAAACAGGATAGATCTGGACAATGATTCCTGAAGGCTGCAAATCCATGAGGTATAAAACTGATGAGACACCTGACATCAGGTGGACAGTATATGTGCCCACTGAATGATTTCATGTTATCAGCAGAAAAATCCAACAACACTGCCTACTGGCCAGAATAAAATGCACCTTTGAAGTCATTTTGCTAAAACCGTGGACCTGAATCTGACCATGCATCCAGTGGAATTTTGTGCAATGAGAGAGTGTTATTTATCTGTGTAGTCCATACAAAGTTGAGCAGTTGAAACACAGAGAGGGTGACTGAGGAACTTAACATGTACTGTTACTTAATTGTAACTCATTTTAATGTAAATAGCCACAAGTGATGCAGGGCTACCATATTAAACTGCCCAGCTCTAGATCTAACGGTCCCTGATCAAATCCCTCATTTGCCTTAATATGGTCTTCTAAAACAATTTTTTTTCCTGGTCCAGCGTCCAATCTAGAATCACACAACACAAAAAGTGTGTTAGGAGGGCAAAGACACAGGAATAATAGGACAGTGGTACTGGGTTGTGGCAAAAATCCAAGTGCAAATTTGGGCCCTGTAGGAAAGAAATGGGCCACTCTAGCACAAGCTCCTCTTTGTGGAGGTGGCACAGGATGTGAATATTCCGTCTGTGTTTGTGCGGACACTCCAAGGGAGAGGAGGACGGGCTCTGGAGCCAGCAGGGAGCAGCACACAAATCCCAGGCCTTCCACTTAACTTCACTGTTCTTCAACTACCTCATGGTTGACACAGGAATAAACACAGTAGAAATTCAGCCAGTTAATTCCTAAAAAGCACTTAGAACAAGATTTGGCATAGATTAGGGGCTTAATAAATGTTACTTACTAGTTCCTTTCATTCGTTGCTTTAGAGGTAAAATGTCTGATTTATTTGTGGAGGTGTGAGCGTAAGGGCATCAAAAAACCTACCTGGCCCCCTTGCAGACAGTCCCCCACTCCTTTCTGCCTCAGAAGAGGGAGTCTGATAAGGGGTTGCTAAGGATTTTCAAAGTCAGAGCTGAAGGAAAACAATGAGGATTTTCTGTTTTGAGAGTTTCTCAGAGCAGAGTCCAGGTTGGTGATGGTGGGGTATTCTACGGCCAGTTCCAAGGGACAGAATCTTCTGAGCTGGTGCCGTTCCTGGCTCTGCCACCTGACATTGCTTCTACCACACTGGCCATGCTTCAGGTCCAAGTGGGCCAACAGTGAGTGTTCACTGTCACAGAGGCAGGCTTAAAAGGCAATGCATACTTTACAGATGAGGAATCTGAAGATTAGAGAGGGAAGAACCTACCAGAGGTCATACAGGCGATAAGAGGCCTGGCCATCTTGCTATACTGCCTCATTAACACCTTTCATCCACCTGGGTCCTTTAAGGAACTTCTAATATAGGAGAGGGGCATGAGAATTACATAAATTAACTAAATTCAAACAAAGTTAAATCAGGGGCCTGCTACATGCTGACTGACTACATACTGCTTGACAAAACTTGGCTGACTACAGATGCAAGCAAACCACAAGGAGCCTCCAGAACAAAGAAAATTCCTGCAAAGAGTGATTAATATGTACTCACCCATACCTTATCGTTTACCCATACCGTAAAAGAAAAACAGGCCTCAAAATATACCTTGTTATGGTTAAAGTTAATCCCAATGTTTTTTCCCTTGTTTCCTCATACCAGTAATTTTCATAGAAATTACAAAGAGATATAAGCATAAGCTCAACCTCTAAAGGCAGCTGGGGTCTCCCTTCTCTCGTGAGGGAAGTCTACCACTGTCTGTAGAATGGCTTTTCTTGCTTATGCTCTCTGCTCAATAAACTTGCTTCCACTTTGACCCCTTGCCTGGTTCACACCCTGAATTCTTTTCTGTGAGAAGCCAAGAATCCTCTTGGCTCAGATCTCCCTTAGAGGCTCAATGCCTTCAGCATCTCTGTTACCAGGGAGGCCCAAGTTAGGGGCTCCCCTTTCTTGGTTTGTCTTGCCTGCAAGAAATGGATTCAGGCAACAGACAATATATAGTGGAAATGACATAGCAAGTTTATTTATGAAATACACTTGAGCACGAAGCTACAAGCAGGTACCCAGCTAGCCTGAGTAAACCACCTATTGGGGTTTTATGCTTGTAGCCAGTTTCCAGGCTCCCCCCTCCTCCTCCCTTCTCCAGATCTTGGAATTAACAGTTTCAAAGGCTTCCTTTCCCAGAGAATAGGAAGTTTACACACGGAATTCCAAAGGCTCCCCTCCCGGGCTATCATGGTCTCTCTTGTGATCTTCAGAACACCTGGCAATCTTACCTGACTGAGCTCAGGACTGCTGAATTAGTGGGTGACACATGTCTCCCTTCCCCTTCCTGCCTTGGTTTGCTATCTATTCTGCCTGACATCACCAGATCTTCCAGGCCACCTACTCGGGAACTCTTCCCTAGCCACTCAGAGCCTGTGCACTCCGCCTTGCTCTGTACCCCATCTACCCCACCCCAAGAACCCCCCCTTTGCCCAGCCCTGAGCTCCCTGAGCTGGGGAGATCAGTGTCTGGCCCTGGAACCACTCCTGAAGTCCTTCGGGATCTCCTCCCACCAGCACTAGATGGGAAACAAAAGTATTGATCCAGAGCAAATGAGAAAGATGGTGCCTGAGGATGGTCATCTGACAGCCACCTGAGGAAGAGTCCAGGCCAGGAGATGGGGGAAAACAACCAGTCTCCACAATGGGTTCAAGGTGTTGGGAGGAAGGAAGGGAATTAGCAAGGCCCTCAAACTGACAGCCAAGGTTCTGCTCATCAAGAAAATGGTGCATGGAAACATCCGGGACTTTAAATGACATCCTTCTCCACCTGCCACAACCACCCTGGTTGAGGCACCATCCTCTCCAATAGGTGGCCTCGCCAGCTTCCTCCCTGCCACACCCTGAGCATCTATTCTTCACAAAGACCATCTTACTGACCTGCTCAAAATCCTGCAGTGGTTTCCAACCCTCTCTAAACAAAACCTAGTCTCCTAACTAGTTCTTTTCCCACCTCGACCTCCTCACTTGTGCTTCCCTACATCTCTCTCATCCTTCCCAGCTAGCACGGGAAAGCTTTCATAATCACTCTGGATAAAGCAGCTCCCGTCTCTTTTCGCATCTCTCTTTTATTATTTGGATATTATCTTTACCGAGAGCGACATGGATCATTTATTCGTTCGCTTGTCCTGTCTAAAGTCCTCCCCAATGAAATTTAATCTCCATGAGGGCTGGTCCCAGGCCATTTTATTCTCTACCTTCTCACTATCGAGGACGAGGCCAGGAACACAGCAGGCACTCAGGACACAGGTAGTGAATGAATAACTTAATGAAAAAAAGCAGAGGCCAGGGAAGTGGACGTTTTTGTTCCCAGGGGGCTTTTTTAAGTCTTTCATTCCCCAAAACCAAGTCTTCGAGGGCTGCCTACAGTCACCAGCCCGACCCTGCGGCGCCCGCTCCCCGTCCTGCGCTCGAGGGGTATCCACGGCTGCAGCTTCTCACCCGGTCTTCACTGCCACAAGAGAAAAGGTGAGGCTCGCGTCTGTCACTCGCGGCACCGCCTCTGGCCCCTTCCGGCTGCCGTACGCGCGCAGGCGCGCTGGCGCCGCCTCGCTTCGGCGTACCTCAGCCGGGCGAACCGCTCCCTGGGTGACCAAGGGTGATTGCGAGCGCAGGTAAAGCCAAGAAAGCAAACAGGTGAGCAGCGGAGGCGTCGCTGCCGCCTTTTTCAGGCTGCTGTTATCGCCGCCCACAGAAGGAAAATATTTCGCCTTAGGATCGTCCGCCCGAAGAAGCGGACAGCCCGCCTTTGCGAGAGGGCGCGGTGGCAGCCGCCTGCGCCTGCGCACCAGGGCACGGCATAGACCTGCGCCTGCGCGGCGCGGCGTTGCGGAGACGGTTGGCTCATTTGCATGTCCCCGCCTCGCGCGGCGGCGGCGAAGGCGGTGGCTGAGGGGTCTGAGGCGTCGGCGGGGGCGGCTCCGCGCGCGGTGGGCTCGGGGTGAGGCCCGAACCCGGGCACCGTCGGTGGGTGGGCCCTAGGGTAAGGGGCTAGTACTCGGCCCTTGGGGGCCCCGCGTCCCTGCGATTGCGCTGTGGGCTCGGCCGTTGGGGCTGCACGGCTGCCGCGTCCCCGACGGGTTGGCCTGGGGGGCGGTTTGCGGCCTCCTGGTCCCGGTGCCCCCTTTTCTTCGTCCTTGGAGGCCGGGAGCAGGCGGACCGCTCCTTGAGGGGTTTATTCTTTCTCTCGCTCATTCATTCCACCCGAGCCGGGAGCGGCCTTCCTCGTGAGGCGATCAGGGAGGCCGGGTGCAGTGTCCGGCCCTTTGCGTTTTTGAATGGGCTCATCCTTAAAGCAGCCCCCACCCTTGCTGCCCATTCCATAGATGGCTAAACGGAGGCACAGAAAGGTTAGGTCGCTTGATTTGGTCCCCGGCTGTCTGGCCCGAAGACCCTTCCCTTCGCCAGTAGAGAACAGGGGGCGCCCTAGGCAAAGGGCTGAAGGATGGAAAAGGAGGTGATGGTTTTAAGGAAGACTATAAGGCAAGCTCAGGCTTGGGTCTTGGGTTGTAGGTTTCAAGTTGGAAGAAATATCTTGGTGGTTAAGGAGGGGCCTCCACAGCATTCCTCAGTGTTGCTTCTTTCTCAGTCTTTTTTCAATTTAGTCTTCAGGCTTTGTCCCCAGGTTCCAGCCTTGGCTGGCTGACCTTGGGTGAGTTGCTTAGCCTGAGGCATATATGTCCTCTTTAATATCAGTCATAACAGGACCCACTTTTTCACAGGGTTGTTTCAAGTAAATGAAATCATGGGAGTCCCCTATAACTATCACTAGTTCATTGTCACTAGTCAGGGACTCCTCCAAGAGGCTTCTCTGGAAGTCAGTCCTTGGAGCCTCTTGGCCATGTTTGAGAAATGGGAACAATCAGGTCTTTCCTAACCACAGTGTGAGAGGATTGTGCTCCCATTCCCCTATGCTTTTATGTTCAGTTTTGTGCGTTGCTTCTTGCAGCCCTCCAGCAACCCTAGGAGATGAGGGCTTCTTATCTCCTTCTTATGTAGAGCTTTTAAAGGATTCTGAGGAAATCGGCTCAGAGAAGCAAAACAACAGGTCCAAGATCACAATACTTGTCTCGTTACTTGTCAGCTAACACCTGTGAGCTTTGTGAGGGCAGAGACCCCTTAAAATAATTTGACCTTTTCTGAAGTACCATGCTGGATTATAGATTACTGCCTTGTTACTTTGAGGATTAGATGAAATAGAGAGCTGGCTCTTTGACCTTTGGTTGTCATTCTTCGTCTTTTTTCCTCTCTGACTACAGGTCAGAGAAACATGGCAGCAAGGCGAATTGCACAGGAGACTTTTGATGCTGTATTACAAGAAAAAGCTAACCGGTATCACATGGACCCCAGTGGTGAAGCTGTAGGCGAAGCTCTGCAATTTAAAGCTCAAGGTAAAGTGCTTGATTGGGCATGAGTGGGAGGTAATGGGGCATTTAGGGTCAGAGCAGGAGGATTTAAGTCCTTTGGGCAAACTGCAAACTATGTAACTCCTCTGATCCTACATCCCTTTTTTGTTAAGGGAAGATGAAGCTTTCTGTGGGTTTGCAGGTTAAATCACTATGTAGAAGAAAGTATTGTCATTACCTCTAGCTTTTCCTCCCCGGAAACCCTAACCCACTAAAAGAAGATTTTTTTTAAAAAAATTATTGTTATTCTATTACAGTTGTCCCAGTTTTTCCCCCTTTGTCCTCCTCTGCCCAGCCTACCCCCACCCCAGGCAATCCCAGAACCGTTGTCCATGTCCATGGGTCACTCATACATGTTCTTTGACTAGTCCTTTCCCCTTTAAAGAAGGTTTCTTGAATCAGTCTCCTGGCTCCCTCCTTAACCACCACTGCTTAGGTTTGAGCTGTCATCAGTGCTGGCCTAGATTATTTCAGTACGCTTCCTCAATGGTCTCTCAGCTTCTGGCTTCATTTCCCTCAAATCAGCCCTGACTACAGATCTGTTGGGTTGGCCAAAAAGTCTGTATGGTTTTTTCTGTAAAATAAAAGATAAATTTTTTTCATTTTCATCAATAACTTTATTGATTTGGATATTTTGAATATGTCAGCTATCTCCTGTGTGTTATAAGGTTGATGTTCTTAATTAATTTCTCAATTTGATTATCAACTTCAGTTGGTCTACCTGACCATGGAGCATCATCCAGCAAGAAATCTCCAGCATGAAACTTCGCAAACCACTTTTTAAAAATATTTTACTTTTAGAGAGAGAGGAATGGAGGGAAAAAGAGAGGCTGAGAAACATCCATGTGTGAGAGAAACATGGATTGATTGGTGGCCTCTCATACACCTCAAGTGGGGATCTGGCTAGGAATCAAACCAGCAACTTTTTGGTTCACAGGCCGGCGGCGTTCAGTCCACTGAGCCACATCAGCCAGGGCACAAACCACTTTGGACACATTTGACCAGTCAGTCTCAGTACCTTCTCCATACACTGCACAAATCCTTTTTTGCGTTTCTGTTGCATTTTTACTTTTCTTGCAGTAATAAAGCATAGTATGCCAAAAATGTTGCATATTTTCTTCCACCTTCAATATTAAAATGACTACACAAAAATTCATCAATTTTGATAACATTTTAAGTGATATGACAGCTGTCACAATACAATGTAACAAAATTGTTTCAAATGAAATTAAAGCAACTAAGTGTTACTAGAGCCATCTTACAGAAAAAAACTTTTTGGCCAACTCAATATTAATGCCAACCTTGTTTAGCCAAGGCCCTGCTTTGACTCTTGGAACTCCCCAGTTTGGGGTTACATCTTCAAATAAGTGCAGGAGCAGCAAGGTAACAGTGATGTGTGCCAAGACTGGAGGGTGGGCTATAGAGCTGCTGAGAGTAGACCCTGCCTGAAAACATTGCCCTTCAGAAAATTTTGGAACACCATGCCAATAGAATAAAAAATGTTGCCCACAAAGATTGCAGGATGACATGAAGGTCCCTCATTACCACACATGAGGCTCCCAACCCTTACTCCTTGCCTTGGCTTCATATTTCAATGATACTGTGCTACCTGTCTGTGTTTTGAACACTAAGACCCAGTTCATAGGTGACTTCCCCCAGGAAGTCTTAGCAGGCCTCAAGATTAATTTAGTTGCCCTTCCCAGCCCCAGGGAAGTACACTGTGCATTCACTTCTCTGCTGTGGACTGGCCTCCTTCAGGCTTCATTCCTGGGCCTGTGCTTTTAGCTGCTGTACCAGCCCCTGAGCCAGCCTTGACATGAAAGAGGGTTTTTCAGCATTTCATGTGTGAGTCTTAAGTGTTTGTTTTAGAAATAGCTGTTATTGCATGCTTTGGACCTGGAGAAAACAATTGATGAGTTTTCAAAAATTATATGAGTAGTATATAGAAATGTACCTGTTATAAAAGATTGGAAGAATTAAGAAATAGTTAAGAGTAAAATGTGAAAGTCTTCATAGCTGCTTTCTTAACCATCACAGTTCAGTTTTTTTAGCAGTATGCAGTAGCGAATACTTATGTGTTTTTATATATACACACACAAAGATGCATATCTGTATGTGCATATGTACACATGTTTATGTGTATATGGAGGCAAACATTTTGGTTTCTTTATCTGGAGACTCAAACTCTAATACATATCTTGTTACTTCAAGAAGGTTCGGGGAGAAGTGAACTAGAAACCTGGTAAAATGCTAGATGGTTCTGGAACTATCTCTTTGTCACAGAGCTGCATGGTTCAGTGATTAGACTTTCTCTGTGTCTGTGCCATTTTCTGATGCCTTGGCATTGGAAAATTCTGTAGTGCAGAAATCACCTACCACTCTGCCTCAAATGCTACCTCTTATACCATGCCATCAGTAGCCATCCATACCTAGATCATCCCAGTAGACTGTTGGAACATCTACATTCACTCTTGCCTCTTTTGGTCTGTTCCCTTCACAATAGCCAGTGAGGTCATCCCTCTGCTCTGAGCCCTTCTCTGGCTTATCTATCATCTTACTTAGAATATGCCAGCATCTCTTTGAAGGTCTGACAATCTGATAGATCCATCCGCATCTCCCTAAATTTGCTGCACATTAGTATTACCTGGGGACCTTTTAAAAACCTGGTGCCCAGGTCACACTCCATGCTTATTAATTAAATCAGGATGCTTAGAGGTCCCCAAGGGACTCCAATATGCAGCAGAGTTTAGGAGCTGCCTTCTTACCATTTTGCCCTTCATTCCCTGTGGCACCTTGGTCCCTTGCTGGTCCCACCTCAGGGGTTTGTCCCCATACGCCCTCTTCCTAGAAGGGCTTCCCCCATAACTGCACAGTGTGGCCTTTCATACCAGGCCTCCACTGTTCAGTATATTGTCAGAGCTGCCCTCCTCAACCAGCCTGTCTAAAAATGGCTTTCCCTCTCAAGTTCCCACCTATTTGATATTTCTTACTGGCACTTCCTTTCACCTGATGAATTTTTGTTTTATTGATTGTTGGCTCCTTCCAGTGACAAGTCCAGGAGAGCAGAGACTTTGCCGTCTCCTTTCCTTGCTGAAACTTTAGTGCCTAGAGTAGTGCCCACACACAGTGGGCACTCAGTAAGTACTGCTATGCAGGTAAACTTGGATTTATATAAAGATTTGGCTTCCTTGAGCCTCACACCATTACTACCTCATGGCATCTCTCACTTCTTTTTCTTTCACTTGACTTTTTGACTAGGTAATAGATTCTGATTCAAAGGTTAGAAAGGCACTCTGTGCAAAGTCTCCCTGAGGCTCATAGTTACTGATGTTCATACCTTCTTACAGAATTTCTTTGTACATGAATTAACAGATGCAAATATAGGATCCTGTTTTCCTCTTTTCTGCACAGAGAAGAACAAAAACGCACACTATTTAGTTCCCATTGTGACCTCTATTGATGGCTTGTTTAGTTTCTGCCTTCTCTCATGTCTGCTTTAGTATCTTTTTTTGTTTAGGAGATTGGCTGACCCAGTGGACCTTTCCAAGGGAGTAAATCAGCCAACTTTGAGGCAGATGCTCAGCTGTGGCCCAGTCGGCTGGGGTGGGTACAGCATCAGATGTGGTTCCTGCCTCAGTGGCACTGTGGGCCAAGAGTTCCTACTAGGAGGCAAGCAAGGCAGACAACCTCCAGAAAACCTGTATGCTTTGTGCTAGAAATAAAAATATACAAATATTCCAGTCACAGTAAAGAAATCCAGGTTGTTTGAGGACAAGACACCCTTCTCTGAGTTTAAAAGAGGACTTGTGAACTAGATGCTTGCTGAGCTTGCTGAGCCAGGGCAGGAGATCTGAGTGAGTATGGGCACTGCTACCCAGCCTTGGTACACTATCTATTAGGGCAGATGCAGGCCCATTGTGTAGTCTTTTTTTTTTTTTTTTTTTTTAAGATTTTGTTTATTTTTAGAGAGAGGAGAAAGGAGGGAGAAAGATGGGAACATCAACGTGTGGTTGCCTCTCAGGCGCCCCCTACTAGGGGCCTGGCTGCAACCCAGGCATGTGTCCTGTGAACTGGGAATTCACAGGCTAGCACTCAGTCCACTGAGCCACACCAGCCAGGGCGTTATTTTATTTTTATTTTATTTTTAATAAAAAGTAGTAAATTCAGGTGTTGAAGGGAAACCACACACATTTTAAATGTTGGGAACATATAGGAATGTGTAACATGCACTCAGGCAAATGAAGCACTCCAACTGGCTGGTAATCTGTGGACTGTTCATTTGGACCCTCTGGTCTAAAGTACCTTTATGTTTCCTTTTGGATTGTTTATTTCAGATCTTATAAGGACACTCCCAAGAGTCAGAGCAGATATGTATGATGACATTCACAGTGACAACAGATACACTCTAGGAGGATCCGTAACTCACTCTCGAGATGCTGGGAGAGAAGGCCTTAGGAGTGATGTGTTTCCAGGACCTTCCTTCAGATCAAGCAACCCTTCTGTAAGTGAAGACAACTACTATCGCAAAGAATGTGGCCGGGATCTGGAATTTTCTCACCCTGACTCCCGAGACCAGGTCTTTGGCCACCGGAAATTGGGATATTTCCGTTCTCCGGACTGGAAATTTACACTCCGTGGCTCTTGGGAACAAGACTTTGGCCACCCAGTTTCTCAAGAATCATCTTGGTCACAGGAATATAATTTCGGTCCTTCTGCACTACTGGGGGACTTTGGGTCCTCCCGGCTGATTGAGAAAGAGTGTTTGGAGAAGGAGAGTCGGGATTTCGACGTGGACCATCCAGGAGAGGCAGACTCTGTGCTCAGGGGCAGCAGCCAAGTCCAGGGCAGAGGCCGAGGCCTAAACATCGTTGATCAGGAGGGTGCCCTCCTAGGAAAGGGGGAGTCTCAGGGCCTGCTCACACCTAAAGGGGGGCTTGGGAAACTTGTCACACTGAGAAATGTGAGCACAAAAAAAATACCCACTGTAAATCGTATTACTCCCAAAACTCAGGGCACTAACCAAATCCAGAAAACCACCCCAAGTTCTGATGTGACCCTAGGGACAAACCCAGGAACAGAAGATATCCAATTTCCCACTCAGAAGATCCCCCTGGGGCTCAATCTGAAGGACGTTCGGCTCCCAAGAAGAAAGATGAGCTTTGACCTTATAGATAAGTCCGATGTTTTTTCAAGATTTGGGATAGAAATAATCAAATGGGCAGGATTCCACACCATAAAAGATGATGTTAAATTTTCCCAGCTTTTCCAAACTCTCTTTGAACTTGAAACTGAAACCTGTGCTAAAATGCTTGCCTCATTTAAATGCTCCTTAAAACCAGAGCACAGAGATTTTTGCTTTTTTACTATCAAATTTTTAAAGCACTCTGCTTTGAAAACACCCAGAGTTGATAATGAGTTTTTAAACATGCTTTTAGACAAAGGTGCTGTGAAGACGAAAAATTGCTTTTTTGAAATCATAAAGCCCTTTGACAAGTACATAATGAGGCTTCAAGATCGGCTTCTAAAGAGTGTCACACCCCTGCTCATGGCCTGCAATGCCTACGAGCTGAGTATCAAAATGAAGACCCTCAGTAACCCACTGGACTTGGCTGTTGCCCTGGAGACCACCAATTCTCTCTGCCGGAAGTCTTTGGCCCTTTTGGGCCAGACATTCTCCTTGGCCTCTTCTTTCCGGCAAGAGAAAATCTTAGAAGCCGTTGGTCTCCAAGATATAGCTCCCTCTCCTGCCGCATTTCCAAACTTTGAGGACTCAACTCTGTTTGGGAGGGAGTACATAGATCACCTGAAGGCCTGGCTTATCAGCAGTGGGTGTCCACTCCAAGTCAAGAAAGCTGAAACTGAGCCAACTCAAGACGAGAAAACCATTTCTCCTACCCAACCTGAAATTCAGGCCAAGGTTCTAAGTGGTCTGAGTGATGGTAAGGAAAGCAGCAAAAGTTTCTATTTGTCGTGATTTGTTTCTCTTTCTTGTTTTTTTTTTTTTTTTTTTTTGGTAATATCTCTTATTCTCTTTGAGGTTTTCACAAGAAGTTCTTTAGCCAAAGGGAGACAAATCAGAATTTTTATCAGAAAACTCTCATTGGCCAGTATACATGTCTGCCATTCATTCCATAAGCATGTATGAGGAGTCTTCCATTTACCACAGAAGGCCTTAGACACTCCTTTGGAAATCTGATGAAAGTTGCAGCCCTTACCATGAAAAATGCACATATATTTTTCATAATTTTGCCTGTGTGTTTGGAGGGTTTGTACCATCCTGCAGCCAAGGTTAAGAAACCCTGTGCCAGCAAGGCCCCACCTCGGGTGTTCCTAGAAGGAAAAGTAAATGCTGGGCACTGTCTCTGAGGAGACTCCAGGCTCCTGAGAGAAAGAAGTAACAAAAACTAGCCACTTCTGTGCTGGGATCAAGAGGGACGTAGGAGAGGTCCCAACCTAACCCAGCCTGGAGAGTTTGGGAGGCAAAAGGGGGCCATTTTTGAGCTGTATTGAGAGTTGGACAGGGATCAGCCAGGTCAGTCCAGGTAACAGAGGCACCTGCTCATTTTTCTAAACTGCTAAATGTTGACAGATCACTTAGGTACACCTAGTAACGCGTAGTTACAGTTAGCTTACAGGGGAGGGGGCAGGCCAATAAGGAAGCCATAAAAATGAACAGGCTGATTGGTGTTCCTTATCTCTCTGCCTTAGTACCCAGGATGACAGCTCTCAGCCCAGATATCCCAGGGCTCATGTGCATAGGTCATGGCCGTATCGTCTTTCCTCCTGACATGGTTTTCTGCTTCCATTGTCCCAACCCAGTGGGGAAGTCTAATTTGTTCCTGAGTCTCTTCATTCCTCTAACACCCTCGTGGAGCCCCAACTGCACAAGCACTGGTAGGCCCCATCACAACTGGGCAGCCACACCTACTCGCAGAGAGGGAAGTAGTCTCTGGGCCAAAGAGGCCCCTTCCTTTGCATACCCCCCAGAGTGGTGAAGCACAAAGTCAGTGTAACAATGATACTGAAGGAAATATCACTCATAACCTAAAGTTGCCTACCACTGTCCCCTTGTGGTGATGCTAGGCAAGCGGGCCTGCCAATGCAGTGCTGCTGTAACTGAAAACACTACCACGTACTCTTCGACAGGATTGTTCAAGTCCCTTCCTGCATTTCTGTAGCACTCGTTGCATCATGATATTGAGCTAACATAAAATATCTCACTTTCCCCTTGATGTTTGGCTCACACTGCCTGTAGGCTTCTGAGTTTGTGCAGAGCTAGTTTCCCTTGTAATTGTTATCTACAAGCCTTGGCTATCTGGACAGCAAGTGGACAGCACCGGCTCTGCCCTACCATTTTTTTTCCCTTTCTTCTTTTAAAATGTTTATTGATTTTAGAGAGAGAGAAACATCGATTTGTTGTTCCACTTATTGATGCATTCATTTGTTGCTGCTTGTATATTCCCTGACTTAGAATCAAACCTGCAGTCTTAGTACTGGAACAGTGCTCTAACCAACTGAGCTACCTGGCCAGGACTCCACTATTGTTTTCATTATAGAGTATTAGGAATGCTGAGACGACGTCTTTTGTTGAATTTGATTATTACTTCTTTTTTTTTTAATCCTTTAAAAGGACATATTCTCAGCAGAAGGATTGCTGGGACCACTTTCTGCCCTTTGCTGTGGTCGTCTTCTCTAGAGATGGTTGTGTTGATCCACAAATTACATTTGTCTCTGAAAACTGCTGATTTTAGACCTCTTATTTTTCTGTAAAATTGGCAGTTCTGTAAAATGAGAGCCAATAACAAAAAGAAAAGAAAGCAATTTCAAGAGGAAAATACTTGCAATAACATGAGAGTTGAAAGATTGACTTAGTCTTGTGTAGAGTTCTCACTGATATTTAAAATAAACTCAAAGTTACAACTCAGACATAGGCAAGAACAGGGCAGTACAGTTACTACTACACAGAACAAACTATAAAACCTCTCCATTTCAAGGGTGTTTTTTATTGAATGAGCAATAGACCCTTCTGTGCTATTAAAACTAACACATATCAGAAAACTCAGCAGTCATTATATAGGGACACACATGTTCTGTGTTGTGGCATTGTAAGTTACAACTATATTGGAGAAAAGTCACACTTTAAAAAATGTCTTCATACATTCAAAAGATATTTTATGTGGACACCTACCTTGGGACTATTGACTTTTTTAAATGGGAAATTTTTCTTTGTAAATTTGTGTATGTATGTTTTCTGTTTACAGAATACATAGATGTTTATATTTTATGGATAAAGCATAAGGAAAGTAAAATCCTGATAAATCTATCACTCATAGATAACATCTGTTAACCTTTTAGTATATTTCCTTCTTTTTTTCCCAATGTTACCATATTTATGTATCTTTTCTTCCCTCCTTCCTACTGGGAATCACACCTAGATAAATGTTTTACATATTTTATACCTAAATACATTTTATATTTATTATATCTATATGTTTTCCCCTTAATATTGTGAACATCCAAGTTAAGGAATATGCAAAAAGTGGTATCGAGTTGCTGCATACTGTTTCCTTCTGTAGAATGCATACATACATTGGTCTGTACTGTCGTTGTAAGCCTATGACTCTTTCTGTCCTGGCGATTATGCTGTTATAGCTTTCGTGAGGATATTTTATATATTGATTTCTAGAATAACACTCCACTTTTCTCTTTTCAATGCTGGTCTCAAGGAGGATTTCAGTTGCTGGTACTTGCTTAGGCTCCATCCTAAGCCTGTGACTCTCTCCTGGTCTTCCCAGGCCCCATGTGGTCCAGTATGTTTCTCAGAAAAGCCCTTTTGTATGTTTTAGCCATCCCCCAGCGAGCAGATCATAAGGTGGTGGACACCATCGACCAGCTGGTCACTCGTGTCATTGGAGGCACCCTGTCTCCTAAAGAAAGAGCTCTTCTCAAGGAGGACCCTGCTTACTGGTAGGTCTTTAAATATCAGCCCTCTGAATTCCTCCCATAGAGCACATAGCAACATTTATGTTGCTCTGATGGTGTCCAAGGCAGAGGGTCAGGTATTTATTTTGAGCAGTGGTGTTGACCTGCGGGAAGAGCATGAGGATGAGTCAGGTGCACCTGAGTTCAAGCACCAGCCCTGCAGCTGACCTGACCTGTGGCCTTCTCTTCTCTGGCCTTGGAAGTCTGCATCTCTGCTGTGCTGGTTTAAGGATGAACTGAGATATGCATTCAAAGAGTATGTATAAGATGAGGGATATGCCACAACAGTTCTGTGTGATTTATTGCTACTATTTGTTAAACTGTCTTCCTTTTGCCTTATTACCTCTTCACATGAATAGAACTTTTTAAAATTAAAGATTTCATCATAAATACTGTACTTATTAAAGTGATACAGTTGAAAGATTATCAAGCATCCACCATTTTGAAGGGTGTCACCTTCTGAAAATGGAGTCCAGGAACAACATCTGTCATGTGCTGGTAGCAGAATGCTTCCATGACTCCAGAGTAACTGGTTTGTGTAGCTAAGCACCCAGGAGCTATGAGGTCCTTTGTGGCTGCCGATGACCAAAACGGAGGAGAATTCCACCAGTGCTTAAAGCTCCTGATTACCCTGCAGTCACTCTGGGCAAAATGGGTGACCAGCTCTGGGTCTTCAGTGGAACCAGGTGGAGCCTCAGACAGTGGAGAAGCCATCATGCAGAAAGGGTTTACCAGTGTATTTGCAGCAGTGATTTGGTCGTGCTGGTGTTTTAGTAATGTCCCACTGTGCCTGTCTTATATAGGTTTTTGTCTGATGACAGTAGTCTGGAGTATAAATATTACAAGCTGAAACTGGCAGAAGCACAGCGGATAAGCCAAACCTCACCAGGAGTGGGTCAGAAACCAGTGGCGGCGGAGTGTGCAGTCCGGGCTATGCTGTATGCCCGGGCAGTCCAGAGCCTCAAGAAGAGGCTCCTTCCAGGGCGGCGGCGGGGGCTGCTCCGAGCTCAAGGGCTCCAGGGGTGGAAGGTGAGAAGAGCAACCACCGGGACCCAGACCCTCCTCTCCTCGGGCACCAGGCTGAAACACCACACCCGGCAAGCTCCAGGCTCCTTGCACGGAAAGTTGCCCCAGCCAGATGAAAATGATGCTGCCAAGGATTGCCTGCCAGACCCACCCAGACCCTCTCCTCAGGACATCAGCTCAGAAGCTGCAGGCCCATCTCCCAAGCCAGCAGAAGTGGACATATCCGAAGGCCCTCAGAGCTCCTCTCCCTCCCTGTCTGCTGATGGTGGGTACTCATTCCTGTCTCCCTCCTCTGGGCCCTAGCCCTGAATTTTTAATTTCCAGGGGTCTCTGCAGAGGTTGGGTCACCTCAGTGGTCTGGACAGTGGGTAGTAACAACAGGGAACTGGTGAGGATGGGTGCACGAGGGGGCACTTTCTCTCTTGCTTCCTCGAGGGGGCAGCCAGAGAGTTCTTTGGTGCCCTTCCTCCTCTCCTAAAGGTGAAGCTAGCCTGGGTTGCTGCCCAATGACTGTGCCTCCCTGCAAGATCCTACGGTTGACCATCAGGTCACGCCTTATACCTGTGCCTGGGGCTTTGCGTTCCTTGGTCCATTTCTCTCTGTTCTTTCTTCCTTTACATTCCATAGGACTGCCCTTTTCTCATTCTGTGTCCTCTCCCCAGGTCTCTGTGATCCCTCCTCAGGGTTAGGTGACCTGAAGTTGCTTCTGAAGTTACCAGCTTAGCCCCTTCTGTGTCTCTTAGCCATTACCTTCTCCTCTGCAACAGGCCTGCCCCCTGACCAGTGCTTCCCACTCAGCACTAGGTGGGAATGTAAAGGAGGAAAAAATCTACCCAACTGCTGCGTTCTCTAGCTATTGCTACAGAACATGCAGCTGCAAACTGTAGCTTCACATAGGAGCTAAGCTTGGCTGGGCCTACACAAGTGTTTGTAGGCAATGGCTGGTTGTCTGAGGCTGTTTGAGGTTATCTGGGTGACTGGGCCATGTGCCTGTCACCTCCCAGCAGCCAGCCAGGTTTTACTCACCTGAGATTGGTGTCAGACCTCTAGTGCTTAAGGCCTCTGAGTCCCAGGCTTGGCACTTCTGCCACATCTGTTGGCTAGCAGGAATCTTGGGCCCAGTCCCAGTTTATGGGAGAGGAGAGTCCACCTCTGCTGGACAGAACTGCAGAGTCACATAGCAAAGGTCGAATATGCAGAAGGGGACATGGGGGGCTGTCTTTGTAATCAGTCTCCACAGCCCCATGATGTCCACACAGCAAGTGACACCTTAGAACTGATGCATGACAATTCCTTTGTTTTGTAGTTGACACAAAGACCATGGAGACTGCAGAGAAACTGGCCAAATTTGTTGCACAGGTGGGACCAGAGATTGAACAATTCAGCATAGAAAACAGCACTGACAACCCAGATCTGTGGTATGTATGCATCACACCCTTCAGGTTTGAGTGTGTTCACCCACAAGTGTCCAGAGAGCCCAAAGGGTGGTCTGGCAGATGCTCTCCCTTGCCAGGTGTCATGCCAGGATGAGTAGACTTCACTTCTGCTGAGCTCAGGGCCATGAGGGAGGAGCGTCTGTTCTAGGATATTAAGGGGGTGAGAGGGAACCTGCCTAGTCTGGAGGATCGGGAAAAGCTCTCCACAGGGACATTTAAGATGGATCCAAAGGCCAAGTAGGATTTCTCTAGGGGAGGGGAGATAGTTCCCTGGGCAGAAAGACAGTGTCCCCAGGACCTGAGCAAAGGCAGAACAATGGTGGGAGAAGAGAGGGTGCATCTTCATCCAAGAGCCTGAGGAAGAAGAGGGCACTGTCCAGTGGTCACACTGGCTGCTGTGGGCTGATGAGAATTTGCTGCTCGTGGAGTGATAATGGTTGTCCCTGGTCTATATGTAGGAAACAGACACTTCCATGCAGTGACAGCTTGGCACCCTTGGGCTGGGAGGGACATCATTACTCTCCCTGTTCCTCAGACTCAATACCACACAGTCTGGAAGTAGCTCTGCCTCTGGAGTACATGTTCTCCTTCAGAGTTCCCAGTACTGAGCTGTAACTCTTTTGGGCTCCCCTCAGCTAGTGGGGAGTATGTGGGAAGCAGGTGGGTTTGCATGCTGTATACATTGTATCCTACAATCTGCTGGGGCTCTGGAATGTTGCCCTGCTCCCATCCTGCTGCAGAGTTGTGCTGTAGTCTAATAAAGAATGCAGTTAAGACTTCTGGTCAAGATGGAGGCATAGGTAGATAAGCTTCGCCTCCTTTCACAACCATAAGAATGATCACAACTAACCTCAAAACAAAAAACACCCAGAACTGCCAGAAAATAGAACTGTGCAGAAGTCTGACAACCAAGGATTTAAAGAAGCCATATTCATCCAGATAGGTAGGAGGGGTGGAGACGGAGAGCCAGAGCAGAGAGGACGTGGTGTGGTGGTCGTGAGGCGGTGGTGGCGACTGGCAGAACAGGCAGTCCCACATTCATGTGTGGTGAATAAAAATCGGGAGGGATACCTGGGGAGTGAGCAATCACAGCCTCACGCCAGACCACACAGCCCACGGTTCCAGCGCTGGGAAAATGAAGCCTTATAACTTCTGGCTATAAAAATTGGAGGGTGGCGGGGAGAGAAACTGCCAGTCTTTTCAGGAGAGTCTGCTTAAGGAGCCCACACAGTTCTAGAGCATACCCAAACCCACCCACCCTGGGAACTACCACCAGGACAACAGCTAGAGGGGTGTGAGTTGCATACGGGAAGTAGATGAAGTGACTGGAAACAGTGAATGCTGAGCAAGCCTCCAGCAGCCCAGTAGAGCATTGTCCCCTCTCTGACCCCTCCCCCACCCACAGCCACAAAGCAGCAGAGCAGGTTGCCCCACACTGGCAGTTATCTTAAGACTACCCTGTACAATGCAACAGGTGTGCCACCAAGACAGGGAGTCAAAGCAGCTCTACCTAATACACTGAAACAAACACAGGGAGGCTTCCAAATTGAGGAGACAAAGAAATGTGGCACAAATGAAAGAACAGAACAAATCCCCGGAAAAAGAACTAAATGAAACAGATAGCCAACCTATCAGATGCAGAGTTCAAAACACTGGTGATAAGGATGCTCAGAGAACTCATTAAGTATGGCAAAAGCATAAGGGAAGAAATGAAAGCTACACTAAGTGAAATAAAGAAAAATCCACAGGGAACCAACATTGAAGGGAAGGAAGCCAGGGTTCAAATCAACAATTTGGAACATAACGAAGAAATAAACAATCAACTGGAACAAAACAAAGAACCAAGAATTACAAAAGAGAAAACGCGGATTCTGGGACATCTCCAAAAGTGCCAACATCCAAATCATAGGAATGCCAGAAGGAGAAGAAGAGTAAGAAATTGAAAACTTATCTGAAAAAATAATGAAAGAAAACTTCCCTAATTTGGTGAAGGAAATAGACATACAAGTCCAGGAAGCACAGAGAGTCCCAAACAAGTTGAACCCAAAGAGGACCACACCAAGATACATCATAATTAAAATGCCAAAGGTTAAATATAAAGAGAGAATCTTAAAAGCAGCAAGAGAAAAGCAGAGAGTTACCTACAAAGGAGTTCCCATAAGACTTACCAGCTGATTTCTCAAAAGAAACTTTGCAGGCAAGAAGGGACTGGCAAGAAGTGTTCAAAGTCATGAAAGACAAGGGCCTACAGCCAAGATTACTCTATCCAGCAAAGCTATCATTTACAATGGAAAGGCAGATAAAGTGTTCCCCAAAGTAAAGCTAAAGAAGTTCGTCACCAAGCCCTTATTATATGAAATGTTAAAGGGACTTATTTAAGAAAAAGAAAATCAAAACTATGAACATTAAGATGACAACAAACTCACAACTATCAACAACTGAATCTGAAAAAAACAAACTAAGCAAACAACTGGAACAGGAACAGAATCATAGATACGGAGCTCATCCGGAGGGTTATTAGAGAGGGGAAGGAGAATGGGAGAAAAGGTACAGGGATTAAGAAGCATAATTGATAGGTGTAAAATAGGGGGACACTAAGAACAGTTTAGGAAATGGAGAAACTGAAGAATTTATATGCACAACCCATGGACATGAACTAAGGAGAGGGATTGCTAGAGGGAAGGAGGGTACCAGGCAGAGGGATGGAAAGGGGAAAATTGGGGCAACTGTAATAGCATAAGCAATAAAATATTGTTAAAAAAAAAAAAGTGCAGTTAAAAACTTCACATTTCCTAGTGCATTTCTGGGACCCAGTGGTGGCCAAGCATGCTCTTCTAGCTTGTTTGAGACGTTGACTGGGCACTGCGCTGGGGCTACCTTCAGCTTCTTGGGAGACCTAGACCAGCTGCCTAGGGCACTGATGGTTTTGCAAATGCTCTGCCTGATCCTGCCTTTTACAGGCTTTGCCATCTCAGGGACTGCCACCTGCAGGCTTCAGAGTGGAGCTTCCTGTAGCATGTGGGATCTTGCCCTTGCAGAGCCAAGCAAAGGGGACAGTTCAGTACAGGGGAAAGTTTGTAAGAAAATTTTGCATCATCCTGGGCACTTGGTGCAGCCAGGGCTTGGGGTTATTCCTCACCCTTTGTGCAGGCCTTTCTCTCTCTCTCTTTTTTTTTCTTTCTTTCTTTCTTTCTTTCTTTCTTTCTTTCTTTCTTTCTTTCTTTCTTTCTTTCTTTCTCTTTCTTTATTTCTCTTTCTTTATTTCTCTTTCTTTCTTTCTTTTTTCTTTTTTTCTTTTGGATAGGGGAAGAGAGGGAGAGAAACATCAACTGTTTGCCTCCTGCACTCCCCCAAACAAGTGACCTGGCCTGCAACTTAGGCACATGTCTTGACAGGGAATCAAACCAGCAACCTTTCAGTCCATGGGGCGATGCCCAAACCACAGAGCCACACCAGTCTAGATTGGGCAGCCTTTTGTGAGCAGTGTTCCTTAAAACATGCTGTTCCTTCCTTACCCACAGTGAGAATCCTGGATCCTACAGCAATATCAGGTGGGGAGATGTAGTCTGTCCCCCAATGCTCATAAAATAATTTGAGACTCACTACACTGGGTAGCACGCCTATTGGGTAAAAGCCAAAATGCCTGTGTGTTTCTTTTTCCTTGAATTATACCTCTGATGTGCTCAGTAGTCACTAGAGTTGATCCATTTCATCTTTGTGGCTATGTCATCAACTTGACATGCAGTCAGTTTCATTTGTTTCTGTGGATATTCAATTTTAGGACCTTTTTTTAATATCCTTCTTACTTCACTTTTAAAATAAGTATAGCAGCCCTGGCCAGGTAACTTAGTTGGTTAGAGTATCATCCCTATATGCCAAGGTTATGGGTTCAGTTCCTGGTCAGGACACATAGAATTAACTAACGAATGCATAAATAAGTGAAACAACAAATCCTTGTTTCTCTCTCTCCAAAAATCAACAAATTTAAAAAAAAAGTACAATCCTGACTGGTGTGGCTTAGTTGTTTGGGCATTGTCCTGCAAGGTGAATGGTCACTGGTTTGATTCCAAGTCAGTTCAGGGTACATGCCTGGGCTGTGGGCTCAGTCCCTGGTTGGGGCACGTGCGAGAGGCAACTAACTGATCAGTGTTTCTCTCCCTCTCCCTCCCTTCCCCTCTCTCTATAAACAAACAAATACAGCATTTTCATGGTTGTAAAGTAAAAATTATAAAAGGTAAGCTGAGAGAAGTGGGAGTACTGTATTTTACTCACCTGTCGACAGCATTTAAGGTGTTTTCATTTTGATGATATTACAGATGACTCTGCTGTGAGCATTATTCATGTGTAAGGACCTCTGTGGACACCTGCTTTTATTTCTCAGATAAATACTGAGGAGGGGAAAGACAGGCTGCCATGGTGTATCCACATTTAACTTGTGGAAACTGCCAAACTTTCTTTCCAAGTGATTGCATCATTTTGCCTTTTCAGCAGCCTGGATGAGAGTTTGGTTTCTCCCCTTCCTTTCCAGAACTTGTCCAACTTTTTAATGTCCCACTTCTAGGTAGGAGAGGGGGTGTCCTACTGTGGTTCTCATTTCTCTGAGGACTGATGGTGCTGAGCATCTTCCATCGTGCTTACGTGCTTTCCGTATTTCTTTAGTGAAGCATCTCTTCATATCTTTGGCCCCTTTTTTTTTTGATTGGGTTGTTCACTTTGTAATAAATACTGAGACTGAGATTCATTCTTCTTCTTCTTTTTTTTTAATCCTTACCTGAGGATAGGTTTATTGGTTTTAGAGAGAGAGGAAGGAAAGCGGGGGGGGGAGAGAGAAAGACATGGATGTGAGAGAGAGACATCGATCGGTTGCCTCCCTTATGCTCCCCCTACCAGGTGTTGAATCTACAACATTTTGGTGCACAGGACAATGGGTCCAACCAACTGAACGCCTTGTCAGGGCATATGGCTTGGTTTTTATATTTAGATTCCCAATTTGTGTGGAGTTATTTGGGAACAAGGGGTGCAGTATGGATCCAGCTTAAATATTTTTCTTAAAATTGTCCCATTGTCCCAATACCACTTGTTGAGAAGATTGTCCTTTTTGGAGTGGTGTGAGGGGCCCCCTTCATCAGATGCTGTATTTCTGATTTTTCTTTTGGTCTGTCTATCCATCTATGTATGAACAATACCACGCTTTTCTTTTTTTTTCAATTACAGTTGACATTCAATATTATTTTATTAGTTTCAGGTATACAACATAATGGTTAGACATTTCTATAATTTACAAAGTGATCTCCCAATAAATCTGGTACCTACCTGGCACCATACATAGTTATTACAATATTATTGACTATATTTTCTATTGTGTACTTTACATCCCTGTGACTATATTTTCTACTGTGTACTTTACATCCCTTTGCAACTACCTATGTGTACTTTTTTTTTTCTTTTAAGATTTTTTTACTTTTTGAGAGAAGGGAAGGGAGGGAGAAAGAAACATTGATGTGAGAGAAAAACATCAATCAGCTTCCTCTCGTACACATGCTGACTGGGGACTGAACCCACAACCTGGGCATATGCCCTCATTGGGAATCAAACCAGTGACCTTTTTGGTTTGTAGGATGATGCCCAACCAACTGAGCCACACTGGTCAAGGCCCAATTTGTACTTCTTAATTGCACTGCACTGTTTTAACTATAGAGGTGTCACACACATTGTAATATCTAGTGGAGCTTGTTCAGAGTTCTCCCAGATGTTTTCTGTATGAACTGTCAGAATCACCTTGTCTAGATGCAGAAACAAATGATACTTTTATTGGGATACTTTTCAACATTAATACATTAACTAGGTAAGAACTAAGTTCTTTATGAGGTCAAGTTGTCCTGCCCAAGAAAAGGGCTCTCTTTCCTTTGGTCCAAGTATATTTTGTATCTTGGAGCATGTTTTGGTTTTTCACACCTCCCAAACCCCACTAGCTCTGACTATGGTTGTAGGTGATCCTCAGACTTGGAGGCTAAGAGGCTTTATTGCCACCATGTTTATGCAGCTTCTCTGCAGGATGTGAGGCAGGAGGTTCAGTGGATGACAGACTTCCTCCATCTTGTGCCTGGAAGTATGAAAGGGACCAGAGTCACAGTGACCACTCAAAGGTCCAGAGGACCAGTGACGTCACTAGAAAGGGGTGAGTGAAGCCAGGTTGGATGTCTGGGCTGAGTGTTGAAGCTCATTCCAGCATATTGCCTAGTTGTCCCTGCATACCTTGTTTCTCTACTTCTCTTTCCCAAAAAGCAATTAGGCCTCACATCCTGGCTTCTCAAATTTTATATCATTGCAAAACTGCACCATCACCCATGGCTGGTAGAAAGAGGTCAGGTTATTCCCTGTGTTCCACCCTCAGCTTCATCAGGCTCATTCAGACAGTTTGAGCAAATAAGAATGTTCAGAACTGACTAGGACTTCCAACCAAGATGGAGGCATAGGTAGATAGGCTTTGCTTCCCTGCACAACCAAAAGAAGAATGACAACAAATTTAAAAATAAAAAACCATCAGAACTGGCAGAAAATCAAAACTATGGAAGTCCGACAACCAAGGAGTTAAAAAACATTCATCCAGACTGGTAGGAGGGGCAGAGACAGGCAGCCAGAGCAGAGAGCACACACAGCAACGCTACAGACTGACTGGGCAGGCAGGCAGGCAGGTGAGGTGGCAGCTGGTGGGCAGTCCCACACTCACGTGCCAATAAGTAGGGACGAACAACTGGGGAGCGAGACAGACTGCACAACCCAGGTTTCCAGCACAGGAAACTAAAGCCTCAAAACCTCTGGCTGTAAAAATCTGTGGGGGCTGAGGTAGTGGGAGATACTCCCAGCCTCACAGGAAAGTGTTGGAGAGACCCACTGGATCCTAGAGTGTACAGAAGCCCACCCACCCAGGAATCGGCACCAGAAGGGCCCAATTTGCTTGTGAGTAGCAAGGGAAGCGACTGAAAGTCAGGAGGGAGCCAGGCAAGCATCATAGTTCCCTCTCGCACCTCTCCCGTACATATAGTGCCACAAACCAACAAAGTGGATTGCCCTGCCCTGGGGAATACCTAAGGCTCTGACCCTTACAATGTAACAGGTGCACCAAGACAAAGAAATATGACCCAAAGGAACGAACATATCAAAACTCCATAAAAAGAACTAATTGATGAGGAGATAGCTAACATATCAGGTGCAGACTTCAAAATACTGGTAATCAGTATGCTCACAGAAATGATGGAGTACGGCCTCAAAAATAAAGGAAGAAGTGAAGGCTATGCAAAGTGAAATAAAAATACACAGAGAATCATCAATGAAGGGAAAGAAACCAGGACTCAAATCAACGATCTGGAACAAAAGGAAGAAATAAACATTGAACCAGAACAGAATGAAGAAACAAGAATTCAAAAAACTGAGGAGAGGCTTAGGAACCTCTGGGACAACTTTAAACATTCCAACATCCGAATCATAGGGGTGCCAGAAGGAGAAGAGGAAGAGCAAGAAATTGAAAACTTATCTGAAAAAATAATGAAGGAGAACTTCCCCAATCTGGCCAAGGAAAGAGACTTCCAGGGAGTCCCAAAGAAATTGGACCCAAGGAAGAACACACCAAGACACATCATAATTAAATTACCCAAGTTTAAAGATAAGGAGAGAATATTAAAAACAGCAAGAGAAAAGGAGAGAGTTACCTACAAAGGAGTTCCCATAAGACTATCATCTGATTTCTCAAAAGAAACCTTACAGGCAAGAAGGGGCTGGAAAGAAGTATTCAAAGTCATGAAAGGCAAGGACCTACATACAAGATTACTCTATCCAGCAGAGCTATAATTTAGAACGGAAGGGCAGATAAAGTGCTTCCAAGATAAAGTGAAGTCAAAGGAGTTCATCATCACCAGGCCCATATTATATGAAATGTGAAAGGGACTTATTTAAGAAAAGGAAGATAAAAACTATGAACAGTAAAATGACAAACTCACAGCTATCAACAACTGAACCTAAAAAACAAAAACTAAGCAAACAACTAGAACAGGAACAGAATCACAGAAATGGAGATCACAGGGAAGGTGAGGGAAGAGAATGGGAGAAAAGGTATAGAGAATAAAAAGCATAAATGGTAGGTATAAAATAGATGGGGGGAGATTAAGAATAGTATAGGAAATGGAGAAGCCAAAGAACTTAAATGTACAACCCACAGACATGAACTAAGAGGGTGTGAAATGCTGGAGGGAGGGAGAGTGCAGGGTGGAGGGGGATAAAGGGGAGGAAAAATAGGACAACTGTAATAGCATAATCAATAAAATATACTTTAAAAAATGAGGGGTTGGGGGAAGAATGTTCAGAGAACTGTCTGGTTAACCAATGTATATCATCTTTATCCTAGGTTTCTACATGACCAAAATAGCTCAGCTTTTAAATTCTATCGAAAAAAGGTATTTGAACTGTGCCCATCGATTTGTTTTACGTCGTCTCCACTGAACCTGCACACTGGTGAGAGCTCCCTAGAACCAGTGGAAGAGGAAGGAGAGTTTGCAGATGAGCCTCCTCAGCAGGAGGTTGAGCTGGAAAGCCTAGAGGTGATGCCTGAGGAGGAGGAAGACGAGGAGGAGGAGGAGGAGGAGGAGGAGGGGGGCGAGGAGGCCCCCACTCCTGGAGGCTCCTCCTCTGCCATAGGAGAGGCTGCTAAGTCTGAGGGCAGCCCGGCCACCGATGGCCTTCCAAGTGAGGCAGCCGAGGACGGCCCAGCTGGCATATCTGCCCTATCACAGTCCTCTTCAGGGACCTGCTTTCCTCGGAAGAGGGTCAGCAGCAAATCATTGAAGGTCGGCATGATTCCAGCTCCCAAGAGGCTGTGCCTCATCCAAGAGCCCAAAGGTGAGTGCCACCACCAGTGAAGCACCCCGCTTAGTCTTCTGTTTAGCACCTGAAGAGTGAGTTAGCAGTGCTTGGTTGTGGAAACGGGTGGCAATGTTGCCTACCTGTTTTGAAAAATTTGCTGACCTCAGCTACAAGATAACCAGCTGGCCCCTGTCACCTTCCACCTCCAATTCCACCTGCCAACCTGGACATTACCTCCCAAATCCTCTCAGCCCCCTCAACAAAGGGTCCTTTGGTCTCGTGTTTTTAACCTAAAACAGTCCTTGTGGTTTTGCAGACCACTCCAAATGTTCATGCGAAACTCACATTTCCAGGTGATCTAACATTTGTACTCTAAAGAGAAGCTGCCATGTAGTCTGTGGTTTCTAGCGTCCCACATATTACTCATTGTCTCCATTGCTCAGATTCCATCAGGGTATCCCTGGCCATGGAGAGAATGGGCCCAGGTCATCTCAGCAATTTCCTGCCCATGGCCTTGGGGGTGCCCAGCCTTCTAAGCCAAGGAAGGCCTGGGGTAGTGACACTTGCTTAGTGACAGTGAGATGGGAAGACATGGGATGGGACTGGTCTCATGCAGCCATTAGCTGAAGCCATGTGCTCTGAGGAGGCCTTCTCTTGCTCTCCTGTGTAGGGGGTTAAGGTTCTCGAGGTATAATTTAGCAGCAATACAATGCACCCCTTCCAAGTGGACAGTTTGAGGAGTTTTGGCAAATGTGTACAGGCAGGAACCCACTGGTACAGAAAAGTGCCTGCAGTCCCCTCTCCTATCCAGCCCCAATAGCCACTGACTATTTTCTGACCTTTTCTTTTTTCTTTTTTTCTCTTTTAAAATTTATTATTATTATTATTATTATTATTATTTTAATGTACTGATTGATTTTAGAGAGGAAGGGAGAGGGAGAAAAACATTGATTTGTTGTACTACCTATTTATGCATTCCTTGGTTGATTCTTATATGTGCCCTGACCGGGGATTGAACCTTTAATGTTGGTGTATCAGGACAATTCTCTAACCAACTGAGCTCTCAGAGCAGAGCTGGCCTTGCCTTTTCTAGACTCAGTAAGTGGAATAGTATCATGTGCAGCCCTTTGATGGGCTGGTCATGGCCCAGGCTACTACTCATGCCTCCTATCCACCCAAGTGTCCACACAGCCAAGCCTGAGCCATGTGCTTTGAGTGTGGAATTGATGCTGAGGGGTGTGGTAGTGAACAATGCCCCATCATTTGTCACTCATGTTGTTCGATGTTTCTGAGACTGTCACATTCACACCCAGCAGCATCAGCATAGTTTCCCACTAACAGAATAGTCCCATGATTTGTGTTTGGAAACTTTGGCGTAGCAGTGGATCACTATAACTGTTTTACTGAACTCTTATTTCAGATGGTGGTAGCATATCAGAATGCTTAAGTATGTCCTTCATGGGGGAAAGTGGAGTCCTTTCTATTTCAGAAGCTCTCAGTTTTTTGAGTGAGTGGTTGATGAGACAGAACCAGGCCTGCTGATCTCTCTTCCTCACCAAATAATAATAACAATAATAACGTGATTTGGAGTATAGAAGAAGCATGATTATTTTTGCTGGAAAGTTCTGTATGGACTTTAATTCTTTATCAGTGGAATAATCTCAGTGACACTGGAGGACATATATAGCATTGCACACTGTTTGTGAAGCAAAATGTATTCCTGCAGTCATGGAACATGATTCACATATTCAGTCCTTCTTCATAAACATGGGCATCTTATGTTTAAGGATACTCTTCCACGGTAAGGATCCATTGGTTAAGCCCACGTGTTCATTCTCTGGGCTTCATGGTCATATGGTTCCTGGGAGGACACCGGGCCAAGCAACTGGCCTTGTGCAGGTTGTAGCCACCTTCTGTCAGCACAGGGGCTATTAGCCAAAATTGTAGCATTCTCATTTTCTCTCTCAGAAATGTGGGGAAAACATTTACATACATACATGTGTGCGTGCGTGCGTGTGTGCGTGCACACATACAAACATATATGTTTCTCTTGTCTTCCAGTTCATGAACCCGTTCGCATTGCCTACGACAGGCCTCGAGGTCGTCCCATGTCCAAAAAGAAGGTGAGTATGACTATTTGTGAATCCTATGACAATTGGAATTTGTCAGAGTCTCAAAGGACACTGTGGCTCGTGATTAAGCTGTATTTATACTTCAGACTGGGTGTGAATGCACAAAGCACAACAACTGTCTTTTGTCTCTGGCAACTTTTGAAAACTGTTAGTCCAAAGCACAGGAGGGCAGTCCACACTTAACAGACAGTTGATGCTGACTGTGTGGCTCAGTTGGTAGGGCATCATCCCACAAGCAAAAGGTTACCAGTTCGATTCCCAGTGAGGGCACATGCCTGGGTTGTGGGTTCAGTCCCTGGTAGGGGTGCATGTGGGAGGCAACTGATCAATGTTTCTCCCCCACATTGATGTTTCCCTTTCTCCTTCCCTTCCCCTCTTACTAAAAATAAATAAATGAAATCTTTAAAAACATAAAAATGATAACAAAAAAACACAGTGGATTGGAGAGATGAGTAAGTAATGTCTCAGTCCTCAAGAAAATCAGATTTAGTGGGCTGTGACATGATTTAAAAAGCAGTTAAGCAAAGAGCATGTGTGTGTTAATTAACTGATTGGCACTTCCTATGCACCAGGCCCTGTGTGCCCACCCTGAGGCAGCAGTGAGTAGGGCTGAAATGTATGTGACCAGATTGTGGCGGGGGGCGGGGGGAGTGCTGTGGGTACAGAGAAGCAGTTCAACAGGGAATAAGGTGGGGTTGGGGTGCCATTTAAGCAGGAGGGCCTGGGAGAGGCCCCAGGGTGGTCATGGGTCAACAGGGAGCTCTTTGGACCTGAATGGAGTGATGCGGATAGGGAGGTGAGGAAGTAGAGACAGCTGAGACTCAGATCCTTCTGTGGGAGAGGCCGCTGGGGACCTGTGGTGGGGTCTGAGTGGAAGACGTATGGCCACTGGTGGTTGTGTTGAGAGCAGCCTATGGGGCAGGAGCTGGTCAGAGCCGGGGACAGGAGGAGTAAAGTGGGCCTGGTAAGACTCAGATGAATTGGATGTGGAACAGCGAAAGCCATGAGTCCAGTGTGACCCCAAGGTTGTTGGCCTGGACAATTAGGAGGATGGAGCTACCATTGGCTGAATTGGGGAGCCCCTGTGAGGAGCAGTTCACCAGAAGAAGATGGAAGTGAATTCCAGGTGGCCGAGTGAAGTCATCCAGGACACATGGAGACATCACAGGTCCCTACAAGGCAGGGAGGTGAGCAGGGAACAAGGAGATCTGTGCTAGTGTCTCTGCTGGTGATGAGGAAAGCACATGCGGTAGCTGCCAATGAGTCAGACTCATTTCGAGTGCAGCAGTCTCAGCAGCCAGATGAGGCATCACTCTGACTTCAGCTATAGCAGGAGAAGGGGCCTTCCTGTACCCAGAGTTTGTGGTCCTTCTGCTGCATTCAGATTTAAGTTGAGCTAACACCCAGGTGCCCATCTAGTGGCCTGAGTGAAGGCACAGCCTAGTAAAGGAGCAGCTTGGGTTCAGGCTCAGGCTGGCCACCTAATCTTGTCATGTAACTCCTGATCCTCCATCTGTACATCTGTTACATGAGGCAATCATAACTACCCTGCAAGTAGGAGAGACCTTGAGGATTAAATGAAATGTGTGTGAACCCGCTGTGCATCATGTGTCGTGCAGCTGCAGTTTCTCCTTGGGGGACTGCAGACAGGGAGGAAGCCTTGCCTGCAGCTCTTTGTGCGCACCTCAGCCCAAGGAGACTGGTCAGGGTGACTCTTAGACCTAGATTTAATGCTAACAAGAGCTGTCCAGGCCAAACTGATCTCTGTTCTTCTTGGTGCTCCCACCAAGGGCTTTCCTGAAGCAGGGCAGGCCTGCCACTTAGGAACCCTCGACCAGCCTTTGCCCTGCCTTCCCCACCATCCATTTGCCTTCGCTGTTTTTTTCTGGGCCTGGGAGGGCATGACAGGCACGCTTGTCATCTCATTGGCAGGTTCCATCTCCTCTGTTCTCCAGGTCACTTTCCTGATGGTGAGGGCCCCATCAGGGCTAGCAACTCCTGCCCATTGTTCCTCTGGCTTTCCCCTGGCCTCCAGCCTGCACACACCTCTCCTGCACTACTGTTTGTCCCTTCTTCCTACACCAGCCAATGGCAAGCTCCTCCCTCCTTTGCATCCCTCCTTAAATACCTTGAAGATGGGCTTTCATCCTGCCAAGAATCCTCGCCTCCCAGCTCCCCCAGATTTGTTCATTAACTCAGGCACATGCACACACTGCTTTATACCTCAGGGCATACTTCTTTTCCTGCGCTGGACTTTCAGCGCCTCTCTTAAGTTGTTTTGTCCCTTTCAGTGTGAGATCTGGGGAGGTGACCATGGCTTGATCCTGAATGTCTGGGGAGTCAGGGAGTGTCAGTGCTGGACCGTGCTGGAGACCCTCACTCTGGGCACTTTGCTGCAACCCACATGCTGCATTCTGCTCTCTCCTCAGAAACCTAAGGACTTTGACTTTGCCCAGCAAAAGCTGACCGACAAGAACCTGGGATTCCAGATGCTGCAGAAGATGGGCTGGAAGGAAGGCCATGGCCTGGGCTCCTGTGGGAAGGGCATTAGGGAGCCTGTTGGCATGTACGCAGCGGGCACTTAGGGCTGGGAGGCAGGGGGCGGTATTGTACCTGTGCCTGGAAGAAGAGGCGTTCTCTGGGATTTTGGTCCTAAATTCTCTTACCTGCATCCTAATTCTTGGTTCCCCCATGGTGAACAAGGTTTAAAGTTGGCAGAGTTGGGGGTGGGGGTTGTTTGTTTGTTTATTTAGCAAAGAGAGTCTCCAGGTGACTTGAGAGCAGACATTTCCTTAGGCAGACGTTTCCCAGGCTTCTTACTGTACTTGTGCAGACTATTTAAATGGCTTTTTGGCCTCTGGCATTTTGGCCACATTGTCATAAAAGCTGAGTGGTGATTCTGGATAGTTACACCAAGAAGCACTTTTCCTTTTCTGGGACTCCGTTTGCAACCCTGTCAGGGTGGAAGCTTTCCCAGAATTGATTAAGCCCGTTAATATCCAGCAGGCATTTCATTTACAACTGAATTTAGCACCTGTGGGGCCGGGGGGGGGGCGGGGGGGCGGGGGGGGTGCTTCCTGCTATAATGGGGCTCCTGAGCACCTGCACAGGTGAGTGCCGTTGTTCCCTGGTGCCAATCACACAATCACATCTACACTTCCCCTTTGCCATCACTGTAGTGTGTTCCACGTCCTTCTCTCCACTCTGACTGCTCAGGCCATTTCCAATTTCCTGGTGGTCTGGTCTGGGTGCAGATGTGGCTAACTCTCCGTTTTGTCCTTAGGGGAACGGCCTCGGAAGGGGAGGGATTGGGCGCCGACGGGCAGGAGCACAAGGAAGACACGTTTGAAGTCTTCCGTCAGAGGATGATGCAGATGTACAGACACAAACGGGCCAACAAATAGGTATGTGTGGGAGCTGGCATGTTGGGCGCCCTGCCTAAGCTGGCATTTTGATATGCAGCGATGATTGCTCCAGAAAAGTTGGTGTTCCCCATGTCCCCAAAACCAGACATCAAAATACCGCCAAAAAAAAAAAGAAATCAAAAAATTATTTGAGGGAAACAAAAGGAGTCTTTGGATGCGGATGTTGTCCCCCCTCTTAACTTCCAGGTTTGGCTGAAGGAGTAGGTGTGTGTTGTGGGCCTTAGTGCCACTTCACCTGGGCCAAGCACAGCTGCACATGGCCTGCTTGCGGTTCCTCTGCACAGGGCTCCCAGGCTGCCGCAGGAGTGGTCTTGTGTCTCGCAAGTGTAAAGGCAACCTGGAAGCTGTCCACAGAGGACGGTTGCTCTATTTCCCTCCTTGAAGGTCTTCGAATCCTTTTCCTTCTGAAGGGTCTTGGCCTTATGAATAGATTCATCTCTCTCCTCTCTTTCTCCCCTCCCCACCCATAATTTCCAACTCAGTTTTGAACAAAATCGTTCTCTCCTTGAATAGATGAAAACCATTGGTGAGAAAGATAAACCTTGAAGCAGCAATCACTCTGCCCCGGATCCACCCTGGAGCCAGAGCCCAAGTCCGTTAGGTGTGTACGTGAAAGACAAATGTCTCTGCAGCTTCTTCTGCGGAGGCCCTGCTGGCTTTTCTTTTTCCTAAAGAAAAAAGAATGCACCATTTCCAGTCTGCTTTTGCCTTTCCTCCTCTTCCAAATGCTTTGGGCAGCGAGTCTCTTCGAAGTCTTTCCTGGTCCCCTCAGAAGTGGTGCTGTTCCTTCAGTGCCCAGGAACCAGCTCCTGTCGGTTTTCTTATCCAGGGCACATTGCTCTCCAGAAATGCTCTGATAGCAGACTTGATGCTGAAGTGATTACCAATTGTGTCTTCTCTTTGCTTCTAGAATTTAAATGCGATCTAATCTGTACTCTGGCACCACAGCCTGTCAGTGGGAGCACTAAAGCTCTGAAGAAGTAGAGATACTTGATTCTAAGAATATTATTTATGAAGTCTCATTTCTTAAATGCATCCCAAGAGGCTTAACAAAATTTAGCAACAGTATAATATAGCTGTATACAGTGGGGAGTAATCACTGATGCAACTTCCCCCAAATTTATACTTCTCTTTAGAATCCACAAAGAAAGCTACAGTTTGATTTTTCCTTTTAAACCACATATGGAGTCTCCTACAAAGGGGTGGGGGTAAACTCTTAAAGACTCTTCATTTTTTGCATGCGTGGCTGTGGAAAGAACTGCTTTGTTAGGACCCTTTCACAGAACGGAAAGGAACTTCTTAGGGTGGGCTCCACAGCTCTTTGCTATTTCAAGGCCTATGATTGCCCTCCCCTCCTTACAGCTTCTCCCAGCACTTTGCAACTATGTGTTAAATTCACAGGCTGTGAGAATCTCAACCCTTCTTCCTAAAAACAGCAGTGTTAAAGCTTTATGTTAAAATCTGGACAACTTGGTCATACTGATATTACAAACTTGAGGAACAGGGCAGTGAGTTACCTTGCTTTTATTGGCTGTTGAGAAATCCTTGCTTTCTAAGAGCACAGGCCCAGCTGTAGTGCTACTCCTCTGGTTCTGCCTTATCTGTCTGTTCTGCTCTTCACCATGGCATTTCGCCTGCCTGGTGCCATCTCTCTTCATGTCAGGTGCAGCACCTAGGTGTATCTGTCTGCTTCTGATCACTTCCATGCTGTGGCATCTGGCAGATCTTTATGGCCATGGCAACACTGGTGATCTTTCAGCAGATGTGAACCGGCCTGCAAGGGGGTGTGGTTGGGAAGAACCACACTTGCGGCAGCTCATCTTCTGTTCCTCTCTTTTCTAATCCTTCCATCAGCCTTCCATGTTGGCTGTGGTTTGGACTACAAGATGGAACTCTGAGAACAGGGCTTTGGCTGCCCATGGCCTTTCACAGAGAACCCATTGGCCCGAGTGAGACGTGCACCCCACAGCACATTTTCTCACTCTTTTCTCTTTGAGCATAGCTCTGTCATATTCACTCTGTCCTAGTGTGTTTATTCTTAGCTTTCTCCGTTTTTATTCACAAATAAAATGCTTTAGGAATTCCCACGATGTGAGTAAGCCCTGTCCCCATAGCCTCCTGCCATTCCTCCTCCTAGGGACATCCGCTTTGAGCTGACACTGTGAGCCTTTGGCAAATATTAAAGGGAACACCTACTTCTTGAGCCTGCATAGTCCTCTGAGCACTTAAATGACATTTCTCTGGACTCAATAATTGAGGCGTTGCGGGCACCAGGGTGGAGCATGGTGGTGTGTTCTGTGCCAGCTGCCGGCCAGGGACCAGTGCATGCTGGCCCTCTGTGCCACCTTGCTCTCTCAGCAAAGGCCGCTCGCTCTACAGGGAACTTGTGAGTATGTGTGCGGGTGTGTGGCCTTGTCAAAATCACAGTGTCTTTTCTGTCATTCTAGTTCCAGGGTCTCTCCCGTGAGGACGACAGGCATCCGGAAAGTGCTAACTCGCCACTTTGGGTGCTTACTGTCTCTGGCTTGTTTCCATCACTGGAAATCAGATAGAGAATTTTAGTGTTTTTGGTCCTTGGTAAAACCTAGAAGACATTTGTGATGTTACAAAATGGAAGTTCTTTGTTTTTCTTTTTTTAAATCTAAGAAGTTGTGAATGTTAATCATTTAGCAGTTACAATAAATGTAGAGGAACCCAATCTTACATGGTCTCTGTTGATGTATTTATAAAATCAGACCCATTAGGGACACATGGTAGATGTGGTGCCCACATGGAAACAGATCATAAACACTGTACCTCAGGGCATTTCTTCTGCCTACCAGAGCAGAGGCCTGGTCAGTCACCGGGAAAGCCCAGGTACTGAGAGCAGGGAGATATCGGGACCCCGCACAGGGGGCGGGCAGGCTGTCTGCTGAGGGAGAAGTAGTGCTGGGAAGAGGAACCACCTTACCACCTTTGAGAGGGTGTCATGACATGGGAGCCCTGCCTTAGCTGCCTATGACTGTCTGCATGCCCCCCTCAAGGCCTTACCTGCTCCCAAGGTTGGGGTTCTAGCCGCCAGAGATAGACCAAGGTGCCACTGGGCTTCCCCCTGACCCAGAAGCCGACCTGTGTGTGTTTTCAACGTTCCCTGTTGCTCCTGTGTACAGTCAGCCTGTGTCCGACTCCTGTACCAGCTGCCCCTGGCCCTTCAGATTGGAAGAGGGCAAAGAGTGCAACAGGTAGGCGAGCTCAGCACACATAGGCCTGCAGGGGCCTCCACCTGAGTATGGCATGACAGGCAGGAGCCAGGCTTCAAGTGTACCCAGGGCAGCAAGGAACCTGGTAAGAGTTGCGGGGGCGGGCGGGGGGGAGGCGGGGGCCGGGTCTGTTGGCAGGTTAGAGAGGGACAGATGAGGCCGGGTTCCTTCGGAAGCTGATGTGGGACCCCTGAGCTTCCCTTTCCCCACTGTGTTTTGGATGAATCTCAGGAGTGGTGGAGGCCCATCTGAACATAATGGGAGCTGCTGCCAGCCCAGAACCTCCCACACGTTTGCCTTCATCTTCACCAGAGCCAGGGAGGTAGGTGCGTGGTGTGGGCCTCAGTGCCCCTCCCTGAGAAAGTCACCCAAAACCTACAACCACCCACTCCCTCTGGGGAGGCTGGAAGTGGGAGATGAGCAGCAGTCAGAATTGCTCTCTAGTAGGCCCCCCAACTCCCTTTTCACCAGCAGACTGGTGAAGGTGACTTAGAGGAGGACATGATTGTATGGGGGTCTCCAGCCTAGGACATAGCCCAGGCTTTGATATCAGGCCTTAGTTTTCCCTCTGCCCTCTGGGAAGTATTTCTTTCAGCTCAAAGGGTAAAATTTCCTCTGGTACCTTATAATTTAGTGCTAACTGGGACCTAAATATGCCCGCTCCTCTCCCTTCTCCCCAGCTTCCCCTCTTCCTGGAAGCCTTTGGGATGCCCTAGGGCTCTATGAGAGGGAGAGGGTGCTGCTGGAGAGGCTCTAGTCTTCAGTTTTGCTTTGAGGTTTTTTTGGTTTTTACATTTTTTACTGGGGGCCACAGGGGAAGGGGCCTGTCGGCCTCTCAGTGGAGGGGCTCACAGTTTCTTCAGCCACTCCAGTGGACCCTGGGGGTGGCTGGGCATGTTCCATGATCTCAGAGACCCCGAGAAAGGGTAGTTTTAGGGTGTGACCTGATTAATCATGGTGGCATGCTTAGTGTAGGGGCTGAAGGAGGGCAGAATTATAGCAAAGCCCCCAATGGTGAAGGACGCAGCCAGCACTGGCTGCTTGGCCCAGGTGTTCTTGAGGAAGGCACCAAGTCTTTGATCTCAGTCGCGGCAGCCTCCAGTTTTTCATTTTAAAGCAGGCCTTTGTTTTCTGTGTGCGCGCACATGTACACGTGTGCAAGACATACATGCATAATGTGTGTAAACACACATGCTCAAGCAATGTAAGTACATTTTCTTAGTAAAAGATTAAAAAACAAAACCCCAGATATATGCAGAATGAAGCACAGAGGTTTCTCCTCCTTCCCACTCTCACATACCAATAAAATTAAATAAATCTTTTTTTTTGTTTTTTAAGATTTTATTTCTTTATTTTTAGAGAGGGGAAGAGAAAGAGAAACATCAGTGTGTGGTTGCATTTTGTGCACCACCCCCCCCCTGCTGAGGACCTGGCCTGCAACCCAGGCATGTGACCTACACTGGAAATCAAACCCGTAATCCTTTGTTTCGCAGTCCAGCACTCAACCCACTGAGCCACACCAGCTAGGGCAAAATTAGATAAATCTTGTAAATAACAAGACACACCTTGCATGCTGCCTGGAGACTCGTTTCCTCACATGACTGGAGGTCTCAGCAACTTTTCCATGTGAGTAAATGTTCAAGTGCTATTTGTGAATAAGTAACACTGGCCAGAGTCCAAAGGTGCAAACATGTCTTCTGTGGAACAATCCCCAACCTGCAGGCACATTTCAGATATAACCTTCCTAAAGATGCAGTTTATACCTCACTGCACATGCTACTCTGCCTGTTGATTTTTTTTTTTAAGATTTTATTTATTTATTTTTAGGGGAAAGGAGCAACAACGAGAGGGAGAGAAATATCTATGTGTGGTTGCCTCTTGCACACCTTCTACCAGGGACCTGGCCTGCAACCCAGGCATCTGCCTTACTGGGAATCAAACTAGTGACCCTTTGGTTAGCAGGCTGGCGTTCAATCCACTGAGCCACACCAGCCAGGGCGCTGTCGGGTTTTTTTACTTAAAAATTTTCCCCCAAAAATTTAAGTATGTTTTGCAATGGACTGTTTTTTGTCTCACAAATCCCTGCCCACAGCCATCAGGGTTGTTCTCAAGGATTGGTCCCTACACCCTACAACATTTTTCTTTGTGAATAAAGCCCTAGAAATGGCATTTCTGGGACCCAGGGGCCCTCTACAGTGTTCCTGTGCAATCTAACTCATTGCGGGTGGGCAGTGGGGGGTGGGGGGAAGGTGACCCTGTCAACGCTCCTGTTTCCTGGACAGTGCCTGCCTTGTTAGGATGTGGTGGGGATCAGTCTGCCACAAACCACAGCCCTGAGCTCTACTTGGACACGGCCCAGCTGCCACCCCTCTGCTTCCCCGACATCTCCCTTCTCTGACCCTCTCATCCTCGCTCTTACCACCCCAAGCCTTGAGAGTCCTGGGTGACAGAGTTCCCAGAGGAAGCTGTGGGCTTAGACAGGAGATCCTGGCCTTCCAGGCCTTGATTTCCTCCTCTTTCTCATTACTGCTGATGCCAACCCATGGGGTGATCATCATGAGGGCTGGAAAAACCCTGTGGCCATGGGATGGTGGGACTCAGCCTCGATTTCTTTGTGAAATGGGGTGATGGGCTGGCAGGGTTAAATACGGTGAACCAGGACCACTCAGGGAATTTAGAGGGACTGGTCTTGCTATTGATCCTTCCTGGGCCTCAATTTCCCTATCTGTGAAGTAGACCTTGTGTGTGAGGATCCCCAAGCTCTGTTAAAGTGTACTCTACCCCACCCTTCCCCTACCAGCTCAAAGATGGGGTCACACCCCCAAATTGCCCCCACCTTTGAGGAAGGGGCCAAGACCAAGTGGCCAGAAGGGGAACATGGTGGAATTCCATGTGGTTGGGTATGATTAGTGCTGGGGCTGGAGCCAAACTGCCACACAACTACCACTCTGCCAGCTATTCTCTCCTATTGTACAGACGGGGAGACAGGCCCAGAAAGAGAAGGAGCCAGTCCTCGGCTGCACAATGAGTTCTTCAAAGCCCTCTTTCAGTCGCTGTGCCTGCTTAAGCCTCAGTTTCCCCATTTGGGCATAGGTTGGCACTGTTTTGCAGTAGCAGCAACACTTCCAGCTTGTAGCTAGGATTTAGAAGTGAGCCCCAGGGTCAGGAATCAGTTCCTACTCCTGAATGTCATATGTTAAGGCTCCTAAGCTTCCTGACTGGCTGTCAATGGGGGTGACTCTCCATCCTGCCCCCAGTCTCCCCTATTCTTGGGGTCCTTCATTCAACATTCAAGGCCTACCTCCCAGGTCCCTCTCCTCCAGAAGCCCACCCTATTCTCTCCAGGCAGAGGCCTGGCTGATCCTATGGCTTCCTCAGGACTGTCCCCGACCACTATTGGTCAGGGGTATGTGCATCTGGCTCTGTCTCACCAGAGCTAGGGCCTCCTCCACTGGGCTGCATAGTGTGTTTAAACTGCCAGCATTGAATAAATGTTTGATGAAAGGATAGTGAATGAGTGCACTTTGGTACAATGTATGAAGGCCGTTTCTTACTGCTGGAGACTGCTTTGAAGTGGACAGCCAGAGCCAGGCTCGGGGGCAAGACAGCAGGTGACATAGAGCAAGTCTCCTGCATCCATATCACTTTTATACAGTATTTAAATTATTGTTTTAATATATCATGGGACTATATAGAAACAAATGCAAATTTACATAAATGCTTGGATATTGACAAATTCTGGAAAATTCTACAGCCATCTATTAACAATGCTCCTTTGGGAAGTGGACTAGGCCATGGGTAGGATGTTCACTGTTTACTTCACACATTTCTCTGTGGTTTGACATTTTTGCTTCTTTGGTTTTATAATGAAAAAATATTGTGGATGATAAACTCAGCCTTGGATTTGCTTTGAGAATTAGAGGTGACAGGTATCAACTTCTGAGCCCATGACACAGATTGTAAACTGACAACTTTTCTTATAGTCAGTGGCCTCTCTGGACATTAATCCTTGAATCTGGTAGAAGCTAGCCCATTTCCCAGTGGAGAAATTGAGGTGCTGGACAGTTTGACTCCAGACCCACACTCTAAACCCTAGGATTTCCCATTGGTCTCATCTGGTTTTTAAGTTTCCCATATACACATGTATGCAACCATGTGGTGTACGTGTGTGTACCTATATGCATGAGCATCCATGCTTGTGCACACACAGGTGTGCATGCACAGACATGCATGCATGTATACAAGATGTGCATGTGCAGGCTCAAATATGTGCAGACATGGGTACACATACAGATGAATGTATATGTGCACACAAAAATACATCTGTGCATGTGGGCTTAAAGGTATGCATGTGCATGTACATACAGACACACCTACACCTACTGTATGTAGGTGCCAATGTATAAGTGCACATCCATGCACATACTCAGATACATTTGTGTGCATGTAGG